ATTTTATTCATTATATTTTTTATTATACTGGTTTTATAAATACATACATATTCTTTAAAAATCGAAATTAATTTCAAAGAATGAAATATTGAAAACTGAACATCTTATTTTATGTGTATTTAAATATTAATATTTATGATTTAAAAATTTATCATATATACTGCATTAAAAAAGTTGCTATTATTAATATTAATGTATAAAAAAAGACTAATTGATTTTTGCTAAAATATGTTAAAATTTATTATTATTAATAAATTGAAAATTTATAAAAGAATTTTTCTCATTTATTTGAATAAATATTCTCAAATAAAATTCTTAAATGTATTCTTTATTAAAAAAATATAAAATAAAATATAAATTATATTTATTTTATTACAAGATAATAAGATATCTAAAAAATATTTGTATTCAATACATATTTAACATCTATAACATATCTAAAAAAGATTTGTATTTAAGATATTTTAAATTAGTTTTAAATTAAAACTTCTTTATTTAAAGCTTTTCTTAATTTCTTATCTAAATTTATAAGTTAAAAATTATCAATACATTTCTATAAATTGAGAAATTTTAATTTATTGCTTTTAGAAATACAACATAGATCTAATAAAATCATCTAAATAATAAAAATATAATAATATAATATCACTATAAATATTAATATACTTTAATTATTACTACTGTATTACACACTACAAACAACATGCATGAATCAGTGATACTTTTATATTGTTTCTTATATATATACTTTTTATAGTTTTATAATGTTTCTACAAAATGAATATTGAAAAATATTGTAACTTATTAAAAAGTTCATTAGAAACATTAGTTTTATTCAAAAGAATGATTATTATTTTTGCTCAATAAATTCTATTCTTAAATAATTTAATAGTGCAAATATAGATATTTATTATAAATAAATTTTCCTTATATTCCTTATATCTGTAATTTTTTTATATTATAAATATGTTAATATATACATATGAATTAAAGATATTTAATTAATGTTTATAAATATAGTACATAATGCATAATAATTTTATATTATTTATATTAAACCACAAATTTTTAATTCTGTAACACATTAATATATGTTTAATACATATTCAAACTATAAATTTTAATAAAATTACTAAAATTACCTTAAATTGTAAATTGAGTTGTATGGTTTAGATGATGGTGACAATCTTAAACTACGTCTAGAAGATGTCCATCTTGAAGAATTAGAATATCGATTATGAAAGCATATAACAAGCAAATAAAAAACAGAATAAAACAAAAAAATAAAAAATTTAGATATTAAGATTTAGATTTAGTTTCATGCTTATAATATGTTAAATAAAAAAAATTTAAGTGTAGTATTATATGTTTTATTGATACATTATCTTTTATTAATCCCAATAAATTTACATTACTATAAAATGAGAATCAAAGTTATGAAATATGTTGCAACTAATTTATTTAATTATTTATTATTGAATCAATAAATTATATATTCATGTAATGATATAATAATCATAATTTTATAGCACATGAAATAATACAAGAAAATTAAAATATCATGAAAGTAAGAATAAAGAAATTTTGATTATTTCATATTATAACTAAACAAAACAAATAAAAATTAAAACTTAAATGTTTTTATTTGAATGTTTGATACAAAATTTTGGCAGGGAATGCAGAAAGTAAGATAAAATGATATTTAATATGATGAGATCCTTTTTCTTCATTCACTTTTTTTTACTGGTTCGTCTTCTGGTTTTCTTATGTACACTGCATAAATTTAAATTTATCAGTATCAGCGCTATATATGTAATATTTTTATTCATGCAGACATAATCTTAAGTGTACATTTATTTCTATGTTTATAGGATATATACATGCAACATCACTACATATATTAACATTTTAATATTTTAAAAAAGATGTATTAAACATCAATTATATTTTAAAGAACTATAAGAAAAATATTTATACTTTTTTTTTGTGCAAATAATTATACATAAAGATTTTGTTTGAAATAAATTATATATTTAATGAACTAACCTTCCTGATGGATCAGGTAAAGCCAACTGTCTATGATCAAATCTATTTCGATGACCATGGATACCATAATGATTTCCATGATGGTAATGGCGAACACGTGATTCCCATTCTTTATTGAAACTCTCTGCTTCTTCTGTAAAATAAAATAATAGTTTTTTTTTTATTTTAGATATGAAATAAATAAAAATGTGAAAAAGATTATTAACCTTCATCAAGATTAATAAATTCCTGATGTTCCTCTTGTTCACCACTATGAATATTTTGTTCTCTTTCTAAAATATGTGCTCTATCTCCAATATGATGTTCAATAGCCATCTTTTTTTTTCCAGTACGAGAATCACAGACTGTTGTTTTTGTTTCTTTTACTCCACCTGGAGCAGTTGTTGTGGATGTGGTTTCCTCATAAACCTGTGGACGACCATCACTACCAAATGTCATTACAGAATTTGATACAAAAGAATGACAATTTCCACTTGATGTCATATTATCCTAAAATATTTTTTTAAATATATATTATAAATTCCATATTTATTATTATAAATTTCGTAAATTAAAAAAAAGAATTTACATACAAAATTTGAGAATATATTGCCCATATTAAATGATGGTAATGGTGGAAATCCAAATGGCAATACTTGAAGATCATCCTGATGATTTCGATTCCTATGATTACCATGTGCAATAGCATTATGGCTAGGATGACCCATCATACCAAATGGGTCATTAAATAATGAATTCATCATATTATTCATATGTCTCATAGATTGAATATGAGATCTATAAAAAATAATATTAAAAACTTGAAAGTATTTTGACAAAATCTTCAACAATAAAATGAATGAAAATTTCAATAAATTTAATTTATTCTTATTATATAATATGATATTAATTATACAAAAGAATAATAAATATATTATATCAAATAATTAATAATTAATACAAGAAAAAATAAGAAAAATTTATAAAAATGAAATTTCCATTATAAAATTTAAAATAATTATAGTTGATTATATTTCTAATTATTTATATTTCTATTTATAAGATAAAATTCTAATGTGGAATGTTTTGCGAATATAAATATTTACTAATTTTTTTCTAAAAATTTCATCGAATCAAAATATATTAATAATATATAATAAATATTTTCGTAAATTTATATATATTATTAATAAAATTAATAAAATGTTTTAAATTTTGTTTTAATTTAATTTATTTTAATTACAATAAATTAAGTTTAAAAATAATATAATGTATATATTTTCATTTTTATAAAAAAAATTAATAAATTAAAATTTGTATTTTAACTCACCCAAAAATAGGATCATCGTCGAGATCACTCATCAATGATCCGAAAAAGGACATTTTGAAAAACAGAATATTTGTGAAAAAGATTACGATCGATAATTAAAAATAGAATAACGTAAACACTTAAAATGTATAAAACAAAATAAATTTTTATGGAAAATTTCACTGAAAGGATTTATTAGAAATTTCTGGAACAGAACGTGAAGCAAAACGATCAATTCTATCTGACACCACCGTTTATGAAACGTATAATGAACAGCGTATAATAAATGGATATATCTTCTACAGTCATAGAGTCACAGCCTACTTTAGATACATGGTTAAATTTGGCAACATCGTTTTTGCTAGTATCAAGAGTCTTATTTTGTTATTACGATAAATAGAAAACGGAATCTAATATTTTTTTAAATTGATCTATATATATATATATATATATATATATATATTTTNTATA